CTTTTTTGGGAATCACAGTAAAATTTCAAGAAAACCTGGAACGGTTTTGCCTTTTTTTCTGTTTTCGCATATGATCCGTATTCTCCAAAAATTTCAACTTGCTTAAGAAAGTCTAGTTGAAGTCCTCTACTAAGGTTGTAAATCTAAATAAAAGACTGCAGTTAACGTCAAGAAAACACAGTTCACTTCTAAAATCTGACAAATAAAAAGACCAAATTTGAATCGGATTGCTTAGAAAAGCAGAAGTAGATTTTGAGAAAAATGGTATCACATAAAAAATTGAAAAGCTGAGATGAAAATTTGCTTTACGCTTCAAAATTTGCATAGCAGTTCACACTGCTGTTGCAGCTGTAACCTTCTGCGAAAGGTACAAACCTGAATTGAAGATATCAGGTTTGATAATCCAAAAATTCTTGCACAATCTGCTGAAGTGGACTGAGCGTCAAAGAAGCCTTCAGTGTCTATCAATAAGACAGCAATTTCTTCACCTTCTACACTTCTCAGCAAAAAAGGTTTAGACCACATAGTTATACCTGACGTTTCCCTGGTCGATCCTAAGAAAGTTGTTGGAAAAATCTGCTACTATGGGAAATCTTGTCTTTTAAAAGTAAGTATAAAAGCCAAATACTTAGCAGCTTAATAAATTCAAATTTTTTATAATTCATAGCTAACGATAAGTACAACTTGAGAACCTCCTCTCCAACTAAATCCAGAAGCAAGGTTTGTTAATTCCATCATCCCTTCACAAGAACGTCCCTGCTCAACTGCGCTAGCGGCTTCGAGTAAAAAATTTAACAGGAAGCTTTTTCCACTACGCGACGGCCCCGCTATACTCAGTACCATTACCTTCAACATGAGAAGTTTGGTACAAAAACACTCTACACGGGTAATACAAAAAATGCACTATAAGAATCTCGCAAGGCGATTGAATCTTTGTAACTCTCTTAAAATTTCCTACAGAAAGCAGAAATGAACCCAGTTGTTTCTAAATTCTAGATAACTGTTAAGGACAAGGAGATGTCTACTGTCAAAAACTAAGAAGTCTAAAAAACTATTAAAAAAACTAACCTTTTTGTCTTTCACTTTCTCAGACATCAAGATCTTCTGTAGTACTTCCTCGTCAGGATCCCAGTTTCCGTTTTCTGACTTTTTGAGAATGTTTACCGCATAACCTCTTCGAGATTTGCTATCGCACATTACGCCTAAACTTTTCAAAACCTCGTTTGAGACAGTAATTACAATTTGCCATGCAGGTTCCAGTACTGTAAAACTGTACAAATCACAAACACTACCCGAGTAACCCTACTTTCAAAGAAACGGAGAAAGAACGCTGAAGGACAACTAAGCAGAATCAGAAACACATTATCTTTAAAGTTTTCCTTTGATTTCTTTTTCCAACTAATCATTGAACTGACTAGAAAAATAACTTGCATTTTTACAACTATCAGGTGCAGTGTGCAGTATCAAACTTCAGTGTTTTCTCTACTGTCTTTACAGGATTAAATCTGGAATCCTACGAAGGTTCGTACGCACTAAGTGCACTCAAAGTGTGTGAAGTTTGAGAAAAAAAGCATCTGCAATTACCCGACTGCAGCTACAAACAGTAGCTTTAACATCAACTGGTGACTTCAGTCACAAAAAAATTGAAAAATTTTTAAACAAAGCGAGAATGTTTTTTGCACTTCAACTAACATAAATCACCCATAGACTTTACAAGACCTAAGTGTGCAAAGCGTGTGCAAAAAACATAATAGTTTTCCCAGGCTTTTTTGGCATTCTCCAAGCTTTATAAC